GTCCGGCCTGTTCCAACCCTCGCACCAAGGCAGTGGTGCGCGTCGTCAGCCCTGTCCGGCCCGTTCCTGCTCCCCGCACCAAGCCAGTGGTGCGTGTGTCCAGTCCGGCACGGCCCGTGCCTGTTCCACTGGTGCCAGGTCCGGCACCGGTCAGCTGCTCCACTCCGGAGCCAGAGCAATCCGCTCCACCGGGGTCCGGTCCAACTCCAGTCAGCGGATCCACTCCGGAGCCAGAGCAATCCGCTCCACCGGTGTCCAGTCCAGCTCCGGCCAGCGGGGCCAGACCAGACCAGGGGCGCAACGGGGGGGGGTGGAGAGAGAGTGGTGGTCACGCCCGGAGCCGGATCCGCCTCCGAGGCGGAATGCCCACACGGCCCCTACCCTGCTGTGTTTGTGTGGCGCGGTCGCAGTCCACGCCTTTGGGGGGGGGGATGGTGGGGGGTACTGTCACGCCCTGGCTCTGGGGACTCTTAAAGGTTGAGCCAGGGTGTGGATTTTTCTATGTTTAGTTTTTCTATGTTTTTGTTCTAGATTGTTTAGATCTATGTTGGCCAGGGTGGTTCCCAATCAGAGGCAGCTGTAGCTCGTTGTCTCTGATTGGGGACCATACTTAGGCAGCCTGTTGGCACCAGTTAGGTTGTGGGATCTTGTTCCGTTTGGTTTGTTGTGTATAACCTCAGGACTGCACGTATCGTTTTGGTTCGTGTTAAGTACTTAATAAAGATGTACGCTTATCACGCTGCGCCTTGGTCCGTCTCTTCCGGTAACGATCGTGACACAACTTAGTATCTTGTTTGAACGACCTAGTATCTCGTTTGAATGACTCGTTTGAAATAACCAGATACTAAGTCGTTCAAACTAGATAATTCCAAGAGTCTAATTTTCGCCTTGGGCTTCGGGGCTTCCATAGATGTCAGTTCAATGTCTAGTTTTGATTTACATTCGGTTGATTTGTCAACTAACCTGAATTCAATGTAAACTCAACAAAAAATATCAACATGCCATTGGATTAAGGTTAAAAGTTGGGTGAAAAAAAGACGGAAATAATTTTTTCAAAACCAATCAGTTTTCTATTTGGATTCAACATCATCACATTCAATAGTTTTGTTGAAATGACATGGAAACAATATTGTTTCAACCAGTTTTTGCCCAGTGGGTCTCCTCTGACTTTCACTACTATCTTACGAGAAGGAAAATATCTAGCAACAAAACATTTTGAGAAAGGGACTCTGCGGTAAGAATAGTGCTTTCAATGATCTGCCAGAAGCTATTTGCCTCATTTCTTTCAGTGATGGTCCTTAACCATAAATTGGCTTCAAGTTGTACTTGTTTTTTGTTTCCCATTTTTCGCATATAAATTGAGACATGTTTTTTGAGGGATAGATAGTCTCTCTCAGAGTATCGCTTCCTCCTCGGTAATTTATGTGGAAAAAGGGCCATACTTCAACCTTCCCCATCTTGTTTCACAGATGCAATGCATATTAAGATTTTTTTTTTATAATAACGTATGCATCGACCTCGGGATTCTGCATAAAAGGTTTCATGGACAAAATATGATAAGATGTCAGCAAAGCGAGCTTCCATCAGACTGGAACGGAAACACCGTACGCCATTTTATTGAAACTTGCATTCAGGGTTTGTGATGTGGAAAATGAAGGCAAACTGAAAAATTGCCTACTTTGAGTATGTCTCTTTTAAAAACTTTTAAAAATTCATTATAAAACCTTCTCTGGAAGGGTATATAATGAAAATATTTACATTGACCAAATCTCACAACATTAATCATGATGCACTGTTTGCAATTATATTTGAGTCCTGTTAATTGAATCGTGCAGATGCAGGCTTTAATTCTGTGTATTATATAAACATTTGCATATACACTACCGTTCAAAAGTTTGGGGTCACTTAGAAATGTCCTTGTTTTCAAAAGAAAAGCATTTTTTTGGTCCATTAAAATAACATTAAATTGATCAGAAATACAGTGTAGACATTGTTAATGTTGAAAATGGCTATTGTAGCTGGTAACGGCTGATTTGTAATGCAATATCTACATAGGCGTACAGAGGCCCATTATCAGCAACCGTCATTCCTGTGTTCCAATGGCACGTTGTGTTTGCTAATCCAAGTTTATCATTTTAAAAGGCTAATTGATCATTAGAAAACCCTTTTGCAATTATGTTAGCACAGCTTAAAACTGTTGTGCTGATTAAAGACGCAATAAAACTGGCCTTCTTGAGACTAGTTGAGTATCTGGAGCATCAGCAATTGTGGGTTCGATTACAGACTCAAAATGGCCAGAAACAAATAACTTTCTTCTGAAACTCGTCAGTCTATTCTTGTTCTGAGAAATGAAGGCTATTCCATGCGAGAAATTGCCAAGAAACTGAAGATCTCGTACAACGCTGTGTACTACTCCCTTCACAGAACAGCGCAAACTGGCTCTAACCAGAATAGAAAGAGAAGTGGGAGGCCCTGGTGTACAACTGAGCAAGAGGACAAATACATTAGAGTGTCTAATGAGAAACAGACGCCTCACAGGTCCTCAACTGGCAGCTTCATTAAATAGTACCCGCAAAACACCAGTCTCAACATCAACAGTGAAGAGGCGACTCCGGGATGCTGACCTAGGCAGAGTTGCAAAGAAAAAGTCCAGTGTCTGTGTTCTTTTGCCCATCTTAATCTTTTCTTTTTATTGGCCAGTCTGAGATACAGCTTTTTCTTTGCAACTCTGCCTAGGTCAGCATCCCGGAGTCGCCTCTTCACTGTTGACGTTGAGACTGGTGTTTTGCGGGTAGATCAATTTCTCAACCAAGAAATTAGCTAGGACTATCTATAGTATTATTGAAAATTATATAATTATTATAATCTATATTATACTGAACAAAGATATAAATGCAACATGTAAAGTGTTGGTCCTATGTTTCATAAGCTGAAATAAATGATCCCAGACATTTTCCATATGCACACAAAGCTTATTTATACCAAATTCTGTGCACAAATATATTTTATATCCCTGTTAGTGAGCATTTCTCCTTTGCCAAGATAATCCATCCACCTGACATGGGTGGCATATCAAGAAGCTGATTAAACACAGGTGCACCTTGTGCTGGGGACAATAAACAGCCACTCTAAAATGTGTAGTTTTGTCACACAACACAATGCCACAGATGTCTCAAGTGTTGAGGAAGCGTGCAATTGGCATGCTGACTGCAGGAATGTCCAACTGTTGCCAGATAATTTAATGTTCATTTCTCTACAATACGCCACCTCCTATGTCATTTTAGAGAATTTGGCAGTACGTCCGATTGGCCTCACAACAGCAGACCACGTGTAACCAAGCCAGCTCAGGACCTCCATATCCGGCTTCTTCACCTGCGGGTTCGTCTGAGACCAGCCACCAGGACAGCTGATGAAACTGTGGGTTTGCACAACCGAAGAACTTCTGCACAAACTGTCAGAAACCATATCAGGGAAGCTCATCTGAGTGCTTGTAGTCCTCACTAGGGTCTTGAACTGACTGCATGCTCACCTTCGATGGCCACTGGCACGCTGGAGAAGTGTGCTTTCATGGTTTCAACTGTACCGGGCAGATGGCAGCGTGTATGGCGTCGTACAAAATTCCTGGACGCATACTGTTTGGGATGCTCTGGTGTGACGTGTACGACAGCGTGTTCCAGTTCCCGCCAATATCCAGCAACTTCGCACAGCCATTGAAGAGGAGTGGGACAACATTCCACAGGCCACAATCAACAGCCTGATCAACACTATGCAATGGAGAGGTGTCGCGCTACATGAGGCAAATGGTGGTCACACCAGATACTGACTGGTTTTCTGATCCACGCCCCTACCTTTTTTCAAGGTATCTGTGACCAACAGATGCATATCTTTATTCCCAGTCATGTGAAATCCATAGATTAGGGCCTAATGAATTTATTTCAGTTGACTGATTTCCTTGAACGAACTGTAACTCAGTAAAATCTTTGAAATTGTTGCATGTTGTGTTTTTATTTTTGTTCAGTATACATTTATTATTATCTGAAAGAGGCTGTGGTACTAGCCTGTCTTAGTGGCTGCGCGTGTGAGACAGGGCAGGAAACCTGAGGTGCTAAGTCCAGTGTATTTGATACAATAGTGGCGAACAAACAAAGTGAGAGCGGAGTATGAGCATACAGTATATTACATAGGCCGACCATGGCTAAGGGAAACGCTGGCATCCTTAATACCTTTTGTTAATTTTTTTTATTAAATGTATTCTCCCCTGGAAAAACTAGGCTACAGCGGTGGCTATATTTCATCATCATGTCAACGTATTATCACCACAGATTCCTGCCTCATCGCCAAGCAAGTAAGATATTAAGCAATCATCAAATGCATTGAGTATTATGGCTTGGATAGGTTTTAGCCTGGTCGGAGTGGAGGAGAGTGAGAGCAGGTGGCTCGAGTCATGTAAGCAACAAAGTGGGGTAGTTTGTGCGGGTGATCAGATTGAATGGTGTGTGCGTGTAATAAGCTATATTGTGTGCAGAGACCGTGGCATGAGTTAGGCGAGGTTGTAGATCTAACGGGATATTGTAAACTATAGAGCTAGACAGTATTATCTTGGTTTATGCTTTGTCACCATCATTGGGCTGAATATTACGTGGACCAGTTATCGCTCTCCTTCCAAACTGGGGTTACTTTTGTATAAACTTCAAGTATTACTAACTAAATGTATATATTCCTAGGAATAATCGATGTAATGTAACAACTAAATCGTGTTCTTTAGTCTACAGTACTGGCCAGCTGATGAAACAGGTTAGGCTAAAGGTTGTTGTCTAGGGAAAATATGATTTTGAAAAGTTGGAATGAAATTTTGCGAGAATGCATTACAAATAAAGGAATAACAAAAGTTGATAACATACTTTTCTTGTTCTATTTTATTTCAGGACTGGAGCCCATGATTCAAAGAAAGTATTTAATTTCAGGTAAACAAACATGTTAAAAAAATCCTCAATCCCCCCTCATCCACCACGCATCAAACACCTCAAGTCATAGATTTCAATAAACCCCCCAGTGGATGGATGACGAGGAGTGTGGTGGTCCTCAAGGAGCTGCCGCATCACTTTATTTATCCTGTACTGCTGGTACGAGATCACCTGTCCTGTGACTTGCCGGTGGACAGTGTGGCCGTTGAGGAGAGCTCTGTCTATTAGGTGGAAAAATAGCTTCTTGTACAACTTGAGGGACTTTCTGGCACACTCAACAAAACTGTTCTGCATGTCCACTTTGTCAACTGCTCCCATCTTCTTGTTGTACTCCAAGACACAGTCTGGCTTAATTTTCCTCTCTCTGGTGACATAATCCAGTTTTCCTGGTGACTGACATTTTAGAGGTGTGAACGGAACATGGACATCGCATTTGTCATTATCTCTCCGTTGGTTTGGAACCTCCCCGTTGCTCATTTTCTTTTTGAATATAGTCATCCCCTTCCTGTTGGATCTCACTGTGCCACAGGGCCCAGGGTACTGGAAAAGGGTAGGGCTACTGTACACTCTTAGAAAAAAAGGTGCTATCTAGAACCTAAAACGGTTCTACGGCTGTCCCCATAGGAGAACCATTTGAAGAACCCTTTTTGGTTCCAGGCAGAACCCTTTTGGGTTCCATGTAGAACCCTTTCCACAGAGATTCTACATGGAACCAAAAAGGGTTCTACTTGGAAAAAAAAGGGTTCTTCAAAGGGTTCACCTATGGGGACAGTCAAAGAACCCTTTTGGAGTGTACCAGTTGTCCACAAATACAGTGTGCCCCTTTCCGAAGTAAGGCTGCAGCATAGTGATCACCACTGATCCAGATACTGTATGCCAAGAGCCTCAACATGCCTTATATCTCTGGTGGCGCCGGTGTAAATGATCAGGTCCTGTACATATTCTGTCAAACAGTCACATAAAACAAAGAACTTGACTCCAAATCTGTGGGGCTTTGATGGGATGTATTGGCGGAATGCAAGCCTCCCTTTCCCAGCCATGAGAGACTCATCAATGCAAAAGTCCTTGTGAGGCACAAACGCTCTTCCAAATGCCCTGGTCAATTTGCCCAGGACATTCCTAAGTTTGTGAAGGGCGTTGGCGAGGTTGGCAGTGGTGTTGTTCACAAAGTGGAGCAAAGAAAAAGCTTTGAAAAAAAGGGGTCTGCAGCATGGGGTCAGTGCTCCAGTAATCCCTCACAGAGCCCTTCTTCACTAGCCCCATCATCATCACCGTGACCAGGAAGGTATATATTTCACTGATGTTAGTTTTACCCATTTTGAGAGCTTCCCTTTGACGTCAGGGGCAGTCTTCTCTTTCAGTTCATGAGCATATCTGCAAACAAATATGCATATTTAGTAAGCTAAAGGCATTCTGCATTTGTATGCATTTGAAGAGAGCCTTGTGGTTTTATCTAATATGATAATGGACATTCCTGTTGGTTTCCTGCACCACACTCTCCACCAATTCCTCATCAAGGAACAGTTTAAAACCCCCTGCCTCTGAGGGGGTAGGCAGGGTGCTTTGTACACCAGACAGGGTGTTGTTAAAGTCTATCAGGATCTCCAGCAGCGGAGACCATCCTCCTCAACTTCATCCTCTTCTCCCTCACAGCCTACAAGATTGGCAGCAGCACCAGCATCTTGGGAAGGTGAGGGATGCTTATTGCCTACAAGGTTGGGGTGGGCACCATTGTCCTCAGACATCTCACACTCACAGTCCAGAAGGTTGGGTGGCAGATATTCCTCATCACTATCTGATTGATCTGATTCACTTTCATTACACAAATTCTTCATCAGAATTACAAAATGTTTCTCGTATCTCCTCATCAGTGAGGTGTTTCCTTTTGAAACCGGATATTATCTCTATACTCAATGGCTATCAGTGTCTGTCAAGAGTTACAAACCTAAAATGGTTTCACCCAAGTCTGGCATCCCTGGTTATCTTTCGCGTTACAGTAGGCTTGTATTTGAGGTGATAATCTGTGAGGTGATAACCTTTTATTTGCTCTGTGCTTTGTCAAAAACGGTAAACAACTTGTCAAGTCATGTGCTCCGGTTTTGTATACACTGTAACAAGCACATCAAAGATTTGTAATGTGCTGAAAATTGGTCAAACTAAATTGATCTTATTCGGGCAATGGGTGCAGCCATGTTTGACTTTTTATTTGCATTCTGGGATTAGGGAGTTATCGCTTGTCAAACATAAACAAACATGGCTGCAATCATAAATAATGTAGCTGCTGTTAGCTTAGCTGACATGTATCTCTTTTCTAAACAATATTACATTTCTCTGTTGTGCTCACCAGAAATGTGGTACATTGTAAACAAGTCTAGCTCTTAGGTCGCTAACTTATGTTTTGTTTTTCTGTCAGTGCAGACTGGTTTATGGAATGTGTTTGGCTGTGGATGTGTTCCATGTGATGTTTTGATGATGAAGTTTGCATTTATCTTTTACAATAAAAGGTGAAATTGAGGAATAAAGTTGTCCATCAGTACTAAACATTGTTTCAATGCTTTTCAAACAAGAATGCTATTTAGACATGTTTGTTGCATCATATGTAGACGTTCTGTTGCTACTGTTCCAATCACATATTTGCGATGGTACGCTGCAGGGACCACTCAACAATGATCACAAATATGTGATCATACGCATCAAAAGGTTATCTAAACTATCGCTTGGCGATGTCACCAGGCAGGTCAAACTCCATCCCACCTAAACAGGCTGAATTTTCAGGCAGTCTTTCAAACGCTTTACACTAAAAGGTCATTATCATATTTTATATATATCAATCAATCAAATGTATTTATAAAGCCCTTTTTACATCAGCAGATGTCACAAAGTGCTATACAAAAACCCAGCCTAAACCCAGCCTAAAAGCCCAAACAGCAAACAATACAGATGTAAAAAAGATATATACACTACCGGTCAAAGGTTTTAGAGCACCTACTCATTCAAGGGTTTTCTTTATTTTTACTATTTTCTACATTGTAGAATAATAGTGAAGACATCAAAACTATGAAATAACACATATGGAATCATGTAGTAACCAAAAAAGTGTTAAACAAATCAAAATATATTTTATATTTGAGATTCTTCAAATAGCCACCCTTTGCCTTGATGACAGCTTTGTACACTCTTGGCATTCTCTCAACCAGCTTTACCTGGAATGCTTTTCCAACAGTCTTGAAGGAGTTCCAACATATGCTGAGCACTTGTTGGCTGCTTTTCCTTCACTCTGCGGTCCGACTCATCCCAAACCATCTCAATTTGGTTGAGGTTGGGGGATTGTGGAGGCCAGGTCATCTGATGCAGCACTCCATCACTCTCCTTCTTGGTAAAATAGCCCTTACACAGCCTGGAGGTGTGTTGGGTCATTGTCCTGTTGAAAAACAAATGATAGTCCCATTAAGCCCAAACCAGACATTGAGCAAAATTGGTTGATAAGACATCTTTTCAACATCTTTTCAGCCAATAAGATGTCTTCTCAACGTCTTTTAAGCATTGTTTGCTCATAGGGACCAGCAACTCTTAGGCAATAACACTGATAATATTTTTCACACTTTTAGTGTTAGATTCATCAGCTGTTCAAAAATTATATAAAACACAATAACATTTTAATTCTGACTGCACTGGGCCTTTAAAATATGGTAGAATACTATGTCTACAGGGATGACCATTTCTACCAATCACAGCACTGGATGAGCAAGTTGTTTATGCTGATGCTAATTGCATTTGTGTAATCTTTGGCCCGCTGTTACTACATGCTAGTACTGTAAACAGATACGATGAACCTCCAAGTTTGCAGAGTAACAATTAATTGTGCTACAGTTTATAAACCCAGCGTGTCACCATTTAACCTCTCGCACCGTTTGCTGCAAACATAAACAGGGTTACCTGTAAACCAATTAGCTAGTGTTGAAGTTGCTGCAAAGTTTGTTGTGTCACCTTTGTGAACCCAGCCCACACAGTCACATAGCAGTCCATTGGGAGAAAGGCTTAATTGCTCTCTCTCCCTTTTTCTCTCTTTCTTTATTTTCTCTCTGTATCTTCTTGTATTTCAGTAGTCTGAAAAGTGTATGTGAGTTTTCCTTTCATAGTAAGCAGTAGCCAGTTGTTTGCATCATTTTTCTAATTAAGTGAAGCCTGGTTTTCTGTGAGTTTCTGCCACTTTCTCTGCACTCATCAACCTTTATGTGCACTGTACAGAAACTGAGTCCACTACGTAATTGTAACTTTTTTTGAAAATGTCTGTACGCTGCTATAAGGTCAGTTGAAGTATAAACTTTGCTCTTAATTTGTTTTCTCCATTATCGTTTTGAGGAATCCAGTACCAATACCAATATCATAAGAAAACGTCACCTCATTATGACGTACCATGCCAAATGTTGCCTGCTGGGAAACTGGTGGGCTGGATCAAAAACCTACACACCCCCATTATCTCTCCAAAACTGGACTTGGAAACCCCGAAATCTAAATTAAGAGGCTCAAACCCTCCATCTAAGATATCTATTCTAAGGCTATGTCCCAAATGGCAACCTATTACCTATAGTGCACTACTTTTGACTAGGGCCCATTGGGCTCTGGTCAAAAGTAATAAACTACATAGGAGAGATAATGGGGGTGTGTAGGTTTTTCATCCAGCCCACCAGTGTGTTTTTACCCTCAGAGCTTAAAACAAACAGCAAAGTTCGATACAGACTTGTTTTAGCTATAATGTCAACCCACCATAGTCATAGATAATAACAGATTGAACAGAGAGGAAGAAAGCAGAGCCAGCGTCATCTTTCTGGCGAAGGAACAAAGGGGAGACCCGTTGTCAGGTTCGATCGGCGCCGCTCCCTCACACACTTTTAATTGCCATCAGAGGCATAGTCAGTGTGCCTGCCTTGTCTCGTCTCTCCTGGCTCTGTCTCTATCTTTCTTTTCTCACTCCGCCTTTCTCCTCCCCTCTCTCTTCCTCTCTCTCTCTCTCTCTCTCTCTCTCTCTCTCTCTCTCTCTCTCTCTCTCTCTCTCTCTCTCTCTCTCTCTCTCTCTCTCGCTCTCTCTCTCTCTCTCTTTCCTTTTCTCCCCTCCGCCTCGTGTCCTCCTCCCTGCGTGTCATCATCAATCGTGTTTGCGGCCTGGACAGTGTCACAAGCCCACTTTGCCTGACTTTCTTTTTCTCTCCCCTCTCTTTCCATATTTCTTTCACTCCCTGTCGTTCACTGTCCTCTCTATTCTCCATACTGTCTCACTTGCTCTGTCCATTTTGCTCACCCTTTCACTGCCCTCATGTCTCCCCACTCTCTCCCTCTCTGTCTGTTTCTGTCTCTCTCCCTTTCTCACCCTTTGTCATTGTGTCGGTCTTTCTCTATAATTATGTGCCTCCCTTCAGCTCATCTAAATTAGTAAGGGGATGGGGAGGAACAGGTGAGGTCCATTTGACCTTTCTGCAACATCCCTCTTATGTAAAACCGAGGACAGAATGAGAAGTGTCTTGTCTTAAAGAAACGGCTAACCGACTCTCTTCACCTACACCGGCATTTGCTCTGGTTAGCTAGCATTTAAATATCACATTTAACAGAGCATTACAGCCCTTTGTTAAGTCCGACACCACACCTTTGTTTTCGCCCACTTGGAGGCGAGTGCTCAAGGTCGTTAGATCACCGTACCCCCCTCATCCACGAGAAGCCCAGCCTATTGTGCTGTGGTGGCCCATCAGCCAAAGTGGGCAGGGATGGATTACTTTTCCTTGAGAGAGAGAAAGAGATATCCCCCCTGCAGGACTCATTTGATTGCTCTTTTAGGGCTTTTCCCCTCCCTTCCCTCCTCTCTCTCTCGCTCTCTCCCAGTATCGAGCACAATCTGTTTCTGTGTTCATACAAGGATATTTGTTGTTGTTTAAACACCTGCTTTACAAACTTAATGAATCTTGTGGCTTGCATGAAGGACAATAAAGCTTGAGGTGGTGATCCGTCATCCACACTGATTTGTATGCCAGACATGCAGAGATGCGATTCGCCACCTGGTTATCAGAAGGGGGAAAGGAGAAGATTAATTGTGTGTAGTCTGCGTAGCAATGACAGGAGAGACCATGTGAGGATATGACAGAGTCAACTGACTTGGTGTATAGAGAGAATAGGAGAGGGCCTAGAACTGACCCCTGGGGGACACCAGTGGTGAGAGCACGTGGTGCCGAGACCGATTCACCCCACTCCACCTGGTAGGAGCGACCTGTGAGGTAGGATGCAATCCAAGAGTGAGCCGCACCGGAGATGCCCAACTCGGAGAGGGTGGAGAGGAGGATCTGATGGTTCACAGTATCAAAGGCAGCAGATAGGTCTAGAAGGATGAGAGCAGAGGAGAGAGAGTTAGCTTTAGCAGTGTGGAGAGCCTCCGTGACACAGAGAAGAGCAGTCTCAGTTGAATGACCAGTCTTGAAACCTGACTGGTTTGGATCAAGAAGGTCATTCTGAGAGAGAAAGCAAGAGAGTTGGCTAAAGACGGCACGCTCAAGAGTTTTGGAGAGAAAAGAAAGAAGGGATACTGGTCTGTAGTTGTTGACATCGGAGGGATCGAGTGTAGAAGGGGTGCAACTCTCGCTCTCTTGAAGACGGAAGGGACATAGCCAGTGGTCAAGGATGAGTTGAGTTGAGCGAGGTGAAGTAAGGGAGAAGGTCTCCGGAAATGGTCTGGAGAAGAGAGGAGGGGATAGGCTCAAGA